TAACTCCAGACATTGAAAATTTTATCTTGCTGGATACTAGATATTTTTGTATTGCTATAAATATTCTTGACTTTTGTTCTAGAAGAAGTTAAGTTACTTGAAATCAGTTTGATCTTTTGGGGTCTTAAAATTTGGTAGCCAGAACCAAAGCCAAGTTCGGGCTAGTGCTAATTGTGCCCTGCTACTGAGGCAAGACTCTTCTGAGTGCTCGGTGTCCCATGATGTGAAGTTTTCCAACTTGGCTGACAGGATAAGATATTATTTGAGTCCTATATGTGTGTCTGATACTCATCCATATAATTCTTTAATGTGGTTCTTTTCCTGGCCTCAAGGATTTTCTTCACATGCATGTACTGATTGATTAGGATGAGTATGCTGCTGAATATCTAAAAAAAAAAACAAAAAAAAACACTCTTAAATCTCCAGAGTGGTCTCTAGAGAGAGCTTTCTCTCTAGTAATCTGTCCTTCAAACTCTAGCCACCTTGATCTCCTTGGACTCTTAGTTTTGTCTCCTCATCTCAGGGAATCCAATGGGCTCTGAGCTCCCACTTCCTGAGTGGAGGCCTGGAAGGTCTTTCAATACAGTTAGCTGGGGCAGCATTAAAGCTTACCTACTTTATTTCCTGACTCTCAAGGATCGCTGCCCTTCTTGGCCTGATAGCCTTTAACTTCAAAGCCATGCTTTCACATTTTTTTTTCTGAACTTTTGATTGTTTCAGGCAGGAGATTAAGCCTTGGCCCTATTACTCCATCTTGGCAGAAAGCAGAAGTCTTGGTGCTAGGCCCTTAATTCAGTTTTCCTATTATGTAGAACTAGCCAGCTTTCAACACCCACTTCTGATTCCTCATCTCCCTACGACCCTAACAACCATTTGAGTCCCAGAAATTAAATGAATGTGCTCCACTATTACTTTGGAATTTTCTTTCAAGCTGCTAACACCCATTTTGCAAATTTGATAATGGTTGTTTTGATGTTAGCACCTGTGCAGGCAAAGATGACTAAGGCAGGATTACTGCCTTGATAAGAGGGACCATAAGGAACCAGTGATTTTGAGATGCATTCTGATTTCATATATGTTAAAATGTGAAATAAGGTAGAATCAATAAATATGACTTTTTACTCTAGTGACAGTAGGACTTCTAACTGATTAGACATAAGGATAAAGTCAATGATTGCTTCACAGTTTTTGTTCCAGGTAACTGTACAGATGAAATTCACTAAATGGGAGAAGGGGCAGCATCTTGTTTAGCCTGTCCAGTATATATCCTCCATTGTGCAATTACTTATAAACTGGTATGTGGGGTGGAGGAGGCAGATTTGAAGAGCTCAAATGCTGAGTTTCACTTTATTTTATTGGATATATTTTAAGAGTAATGAAGTTGGCATGAAGATTAAAAATATAACATAGAAACCTCCTCAAGGTTGGCAGAATATTTTTATATGTAGCTAGCTATATTAACAATGGCTCTTTCATTAAAAAAATAATAATGATAAGATTAAGTATCAGCCCCAAAGGCTTAGAACAAAGAGTCTTTAAAAACATAAACTTATCAACAGGTCTCAAAATAAGATAAACTCACATAGAAGTATAGGAAATCCTGTCTTTTCAAAACTTATCAATATTATCACCTTTCTCTGATAAAGCATGAATCACACACAAAAAATTCTTCCACATATGCAAGATTAAAAAATGAATCTAAAATGTTCTATAGAAAGATGTGGAATATATATATATATAGCTGTAGATTTCTTTAATTTTTTTTTTTTGAGGAACTCTTAGGTACAATCCCTGAGGATAATTTTCTTGAAAAGGGGATTTGCAACCCATATATGTTAAATGACAGAATTTATGATTCCCATGGAAACTTTGTCCTTTAAATGGAGAAAGAAGTTACCTAATCTCTGAAACAGGTCTTTTAGAATTGTTGATTAATAACCTGGAATTATGTCCTGAAAATTGGCTTCACAGTTCCGTCAGCAAAGCCAGAATACATTAGGGGCAATGCACTTGATTGTAGAGCAGTGGGCCTTCGTAGGAGAGGGCTCCCAGAGGAATGTGCGGCACAGTGGGAGAGGATGCAGCCACCTGCCTCTCCAGCTGAACCCATCGAATTAATCCCTGAGGGACAGGTAATGAAACCAGACTGCTCACACATTCTGAGATGTCTTAAACACCTCTCTGTGCACAAGACTAGAGTAGGTGCAAAATAGAAGAGTCCCCCAACCCATCCCTAATCACTGAGAATTTATCATCAAATGAAAAAAAATATTAATACATACATAAAGACTGGCTTTTTATCAACATTCAGAAAATAAAATTAATTTTTTTTCTATCTTGCTTTTTTGTCAAATTAAAAGGACCATATACTAAGGTATGTTCTGAGATGTATCAGCTGATGTTAACAGGTGATATGTAAGAAAAAGTTTCCCCAAGTGAACACACTGGGGACTCACTGGGTTAAATAGAGTGAAATAGGTTTCTTTGGTTTGGGGCTCCTAAGAAACTAATTAATATGCTTCGAAAATTTCCATGAACAAGGTATAGTATGTGATATTTCCCCACACATTTTATCTTAGATCCCTTTTTTAGGGACCATCTTATGGAGCTGGTGCTTTGTTCGTCTTGTTCATCACTGAATCTCTGGTACCTAGTATGGAACCTGACACACTCACAAATATTTGTGGAATAAAGTAATGAATTTGCCAAGTGCCTAATGACCTGCCAGTTGTCTCTTAGCCTCTTACAGAGCCATAGAAGAATAGGCTATGACTCTCCTACCTCTGGTGCTGTGTGCAGCTGATGGTTCAAGTTTGCATCAGCCCAAGTTGCTCCGTGTTTTTCTTTGCCCAGGCAAGTGCAGAGGGGCATCAGGAGACATTTCATTCTTGCCTGGTCTATTGCCTCCATCCTGCCCGCTTCCCCCAACAACCTTGGAGGTTCCTCCCCACTTTCCTTGGGGAGCATACAAAGGTTACTGCGTCAGCCAAAAGCTAGGTCAGTGCCCCTGTGTGTGGAACGTGAGTCACTTCTCAGCAGAACAAGAGGGAGTCTGCCTGAGCAGTGTGTGGGTCACAGGACTGCCGCTGAGCATTGCGGGGCCAAACAGAAGGCTTCCCTTTTACTTGCACTTTACTTGACCTGTGGATAAACAAAGACTTTCTATTTCTAGAAATCCCATTGTTTTAACTTTTTTGAGTTTCTTTTGTAAACTTTAACATCCATGTCTTTATGCAAGACGTTTAAAGCTCTGTGGGTCCAGTCTGAACATTCTTTGTTCCTTCTCTATATTCCCCTTATGTGTTTTGTTCTTATATGCCACAAACTCTTAGCTATCTGAAATTCAGCCTTTCTTTTCTTTTACAATGTATAGCATTAAAAACAATTAGAAGGCGATATTGTAAGCAGAATAATCGGTATTGCAGAGAACTTGATAAATGTAACCTCTTTAGAAAAGGAATTGAGAGCATATGATTCTTCTTTCTCATTCAGCTGGCTATGTGCTAAGGGCCTTGAAGTAAGTGTTAAAAAACATCATAAAAATAGTCTTTCAGTTCCTGTTTTTAAAGAGATTTGGAATAGAGGGAGGAAAATAATATTTACAAAATACTGTGTTACAGGCTATAGATCTATATATCTAGGTATATCCATACCTATATCTCTTCACGACAATATTATGAGGTAAGTGTTGTTTTCCCTACTTTACAAAAAAATTTAAGGATCAGAGAAGTTAAGGAACTTCTGAAATTCATTTATTGAAATTAAAATTTCCCAAAGACAAGATGATATATAATGTTGAAGTTCAGAGAATTTGGCTACCTTTTGAGATTTTTTAAAATTTAAACTAAATTCTTCCGGTGATAGGACGATAATATATAATATTGGAAAGATATATGTGAAACAATGAATCCCAAAGAGCTTCTGAATATGCTGGTGAGTTTAAAATACCTGCTTTCCCTTGCCTTCTGGAAGGCCCTCCTGTTCTTTGACTTTGAGCCACTCATTATACTTCTCAGAGACTTCATTTCTTCATCATAAAATGGTAGATGGTGGCATCCTCCTTGCTTACATTACAAGTTTAGGGTGAAGGAATAAATAAGTGAATCTTTTGAGTGCTATATAAATATAAGATATTGTTGTCACAAATGGAGTCCTAAATAAGGATGTGTTTCAGGTGCATGTAATATACCTTCAATTTTTTTTAATGTAGGTTTTGGGACTGCTTCCAATGAGTTTAGTCTCAATTTTTTTTTGTTGTTATGATAATTGCAGTGTGGTTATGCTTTTTTAAAATTTATTTTTATTATGGTGACATTGGTAGGCCCAGGTTTTAAGTACAGTAAAAAGTAATCCATTCTTTTAATGATCTATGATTCAGCTAATTTTTTTTTTTTTTGCAAAACAGAGAGGATATTGGGGAGAAATGTGAATAACCATTTATGGGACACTCACTATACATAGTATTAAATGCAGATAGTGTAAAGGGCATTGAAGAACTGGAAGGCATGATTTCTTCCCTAACAGGTTTAAAAACCATAAATATATATACTTCCCCTATTCTTATCTGTCTTACTCTTCCAAGACAGTTACTTTGCTAGAGAGAAATCCAGATTTTATAAAATGAAGTCATCCTTTAAACATTAGAATTTATTTTCTTTTTGTAATTTAACACAATTACCCTAAGCTAGAGAAATTTGGCAATGTAAGAGCAGGATTTAAAATCAGAAATGAAAACTTGCAAATTCATTTTTCCATATATCAAAATTCATATATATATTTAAAGGCCAGATCCCCCCATGAGTTAGCTAGTAACCAGCTTTTTCGGCATATTTTGATGAAAGTAGAAATCTTGTTTCTCAAAGATTGATGTTCACATTTCAAAGACTTAAAAAAGAATGTCATTTGGGGTGGGAGTATGTAAGTCAGTGCCTTCATAAAAGACCATTAGTAATTTTGTATAAAATTATGTGCTTTTAAGACTTTGCTTTGTTTCTCTTTAGTGGATGACACTGTGGTTGCTATTCCCTATGGAAGTAGACATATTCGCCTTGTCTTAAAAGGACCTGATCACTTGTGTAAGTAAACTTAGCTGTTTTCCTTTGGATATTGGGAATTTTAGTCATTATTATTTATTTTTTTGTTCCCAGAAGAGATTGAAATACAGAAGTACAAATCTTTCCATTCTATAATAATATGATATTTTGAGTGCTTCTGTTTATCTTTTGGTTGCCTGATGAGATGGTAGAAACCTCTGTGGTAATTATCTCTAACCACAGCCATCCTGAAAAATACAAAATTGATGCTCCCCATAGGTTGTTCATGATTTAAGTACATGTTTATGCTTTTGTGATATTATTCCTCATTCTCTCCTTCCTTTCCAATCAATCTCAATATTTTTCTTGCCTAGTCTCTCGTTTTCTTCTTCTTCTTCCTTTTAATAGTCCTTCTCTCTCCTTCCTTCTTTCTTTTATTCCTTCTACTCTCATGTCTTATTACTTCATCAGTGCAGAGGAACATAGAAATACCAAACAACCGTAACCCTGTGGCATTTAAAGAAAACCATTGAGGCATAATTAAGCATCCCATGTATAAAAGACCTACTGTCTTGTATAAGGTCCTACTGTCTTGAAGATAGCTATTGGGAATCAAGATTACTGGGGAGTGATCATAACCCAAGGATCAAGTAGTAGCATGGCCCCACTAGAGTCTGTACAAAAACTGATCTTCAGCCATGCCAAGCCAGTAGTACATAGCCACATCTTTTTTATTTTAAATACTATTCAGTGCTGCTTAGATGTAGACCTGTGAATTACAAGCAGAAAATTATGGGCTATGAACCAGGAAGGGGGTAGGAGAGGATATGTTTGTGTTTCCTGCAAAATTCAGCTTCCCTGAAAACTTTCACTTTAGTTGATCCCTTGAGCATTTCAGATCCCCTCCACAGTGATTGTTCCTGGGTTCTTATAAAGCCATCTATCATCTTCTACTCTTTCTCCCCTCCCACACACATGCCTAAGAAACCAGTTTAGGTCGCAAGTACTATCTTTTGGCAATTGGATTATGACTGAAATCATTCCAGAAAGGCAAACAAGAGAAAACAAATTAGAGCCTGTGAAAGTTCAGATAGCCTACTGTAGTCTTTCTAAAAATAAAAATAAGTACATTTCAATAAAGGAATAAGTAAGATGCAGTTCAAGCAAAGCCAAAGATGCTGATGAGATACTTTATATGGTCCAAGTTCTTTTCTAGCTCTGAATAACTGCCCCCCAAATATAGTGTTCACATGTCAAAGGATGATATATGTGTATACACTTTTGCCATTCAAATAATTTGTTTTTTCCCTTGAGAACTGGACAGAGGCAACTGTTGGTAATAATAACCCCACTCAAAAAAGTATTTTTCTGAGCCATGACAGGCACTGAAACATCCAAACCAAAACCATTGCCAAGTTGGGGAGTGACTCCTCACTGCAGAGGAAAGAACCCAAAGGAATAGAGATATAAGAGGAAAATTCATTTTTATGAATGTATTAGCCTCACAGATTTCTTAATTATGTGATCACTAAGAAGCTGACCAAACAGCCTTGTTTGGTTTAATCGTCCCAAGGATTTGATAGATAAAGCTGCCAATGACATTCATAGATGATGAAAAGCAAAATAGAACCTGCTCTTTTTCCCCAACAGACATACTGTTGATAACATATGTACAACTAAAGAAGCTTTTGTTTTGTTTTGATATTTGGAATATAATTCAAAATGAATGTATGCATAAGTGATGCCCTGTTTCTCTTGCAACCCTTTGCCCTTCACTCCCAGCAGCTGGTCCAACGTGGGACCAACCTCAGATATTAAGGGCCAAACTAGAACAAGAGACTAGGCAGTCTGGCCGAGCCCCAGCTCATCTCTAATCAGAAGTACCTTGAGAAGGACAGGTGGGAAGCCAGGCAATAAATTCAGATGCTCAGGTCAGGCTTACACCTCCAAGATTTTTCCAAAACTAAGTTAACTTATGTGCTGGAGACACTTCCACAAATACATGTAAGGCAGCTAGAAGAATGAAAGGTGGAGGAAGGAGATACAGTGTTGTTGCTGTTCTCTAATGACAGCTGTGGTTCCCCCACTCAAGTTTCCTTGATGTGCCTTGTTTTTTTTGTGTGGTCCTCTCTAGGTCAGGGGAGGGAAGCCTGACCTACTCCTGTAAAAGGGCTACAGACTTTATCTGAGGATCATGGGCATTTGATTGGACTCCAACATTTCTGCCTGTTGGTATTTCTTGTAGTAGAGAGCTTGATTTAGACATCTAGAATAATTTAGTTCAGATAGTTTGGGCACTTTAGTACCTCCAGAGATCTTTAAAATGTTATTAGCCCCAGAACTCCAATCTGTAAAATTATAAGAAGGGAGTCATTCTGATTGAATGTAGGGTAGGAGATCAAGAGCTTCACCCAGGTACCCCATCTTTCTTCTAAAGAACTCCTGCCAAAACCAAGAGTTCTTGTGCAAGTTTTGGAAACTTTTGTAATAGCCTATCTACCTTCCTTCATGCAGCAGACAATCATAAATCACCTCTCAATCACATGAGAATTTAACCTGCTCTGAAATACTCATCATAATTACCGTTATCACCAGCACGTTTTGATTTCCTATAACAAAAGATGCTTCATAGTCTTTGTCATTGGCTAAATTCAGATTGGAATTTCCAGGAATTAAGAAATTCTTCTTTCTGTCTTAAGCTTTTATGAAATATGTATATGTGCTGAACGAAGTACCGAAAGGGTTTTTAAAAGAAAGAGAACTAAAAAAGGCTGTTAGTTAGTTCCCTGCCCTTAAGTCACTACACTTTCTTTGTTTTGAGCAATAGCACACATGCTAAAAGTAACCAGAAAGTATAAATAAATACAAGTTAATATGTGAATATAAAGTCACAGGTGCTGAGGGAACTCAGAGATGCACCTTGGATCTCACAGAGCAAAAAGAAAAGTGTAGGATATTCTAGACTGAGGGCCATAAAGACTGAAATCAGCAAGATAGGTATGGGAGATGGTTTAGTCAAAGGAATAAGATTTTGGTAAAGTGGGGTTCTCAGATGAACTCACAGGGAGTCAAAAAATTTTTTGACAGGGAGCCTTAAGTGTTTGGATAATGAGTATTAAAATAATTTCATTTGCAGCATAAACTCCTATGTGATCCAAAGTGCCTATATGTTTTGTTTCCATTATAATTTTAATTGCGTCAGCCATATAAAGGATGATACTTCTCCCTTACATAGTTCTAGACGCTGTTGCATGGAATGTACTTGCATGTGGCCTGTTGTAACCCTGGGAACATCTTTCTCTCCTCTTCATGTATTTGATTATGTAGATCTGGAAACCAAAACCCTCCAGGGGGCCAAAGGTGAAAATAGTCTCAACTCCACGGGCACCTTTCTTGTGGACAATTCTAGTGTGAACTTCCAGAAATTTCCGGACAAAGAGATACTGAGAATGGCTGGACCACTCACAGCAGATTTCATCGTCAAGGTAAGCCTATTTAGGTACCTCGTTTTCAAGCCACCTCCAGATTGATGGTATTTATAATCTCCCGAAGAGAGAGAGATTTTTGGTTTTGACATAGATTCAGAAAGCCTGTTATCCAGGAGATATTTAATTTGAGGGTGCTGAACTACATCTTGGACTTTACAAGAACATATGATATTTTTAAGATCCTAGGAAAATCCTAATCGTGCGTGTGTATATGTATATTTAATTTAATAAAAAGACCCACTCACAAAGCCAGCATATCATTAGTTGAGGGAATATGAACGGTTTTTAAACAAGTTAGAATACAGTCATTGACTGGTAGGAGGTGTCCTCAGTCAAAGGGAAAGACAAACTGATGATCCATAGACTTGGCCATGCTTTCTTTCAATTGCTAGTTCTGTTTTCTCTTGGACTGGCAACAAGACTAAGTTGTTTCCTTCTATCAGAGCTTTCCTGTTCTTCAAGGTAATATAAAACACATTGCTGGAAGCAACATACACATTCTGTAGGAAAAATGTACACACTAGAAGAACATTTGGGAATCACAATAAAATAAAACATATTTTTTCCTTCAGTAGGTCAGAAAGACCTGAAGGATTTCAGCTGTAAAGCTGTAAAACTTGTAACATGTCCAGGACTCCATAAATTTTTCATCATGGGACCTGGAGCCAGAGGACATTTGATTTAAGCTAAAGCTTGATGACCCCATGGCAGCTGGAAGTAAGAATACATATAGGAAAATGTGATAGGCAGTGAGGTTGGATGGAAGAAGGGTTCCAGAGTACTGTTCTTTGTCTCCGTCTGCATGGTAGGTCTTCTTAATCCAGTCCACCTACTGGCCACATGAACATGAGCAAGAAGCTATAAACTATCAGAAATAGCTCACAATAGAAATGATGCTGTAAGTAGTTAAGTAATTTCAGTTAAGCAAATACAGGCATACCTTGGAAATATTGCGGTGTTGGTTCTAGACCACCGCAGTAAAATGCATATCACAATAAAATGATTATCGCAATAAAGTGAGTCATAATCCTTTTGCTAGTGGAGGGTCTTGTCTTCAATTTGTAAAACAAAACCAAACAAAATAGCCTGCAACATCCATGAAGCATAATAAAGCAAAACACAATAAAACAAGATATAGCTATACAGTAAAAAATTGAGAGATCTCTTTATATTTTGTAGCCCTTAGAATATTGTTGAATAAACTATTTATACTAATTTCCCTAGTGGACTTGCAAGAGTTAATATACACACTGAAAACATAGAATTGGATTCAAATAATATTATTCACATTTGAATAGTTCACAGCATTGTTGAATGCATTTCATGTATACAGCTGCCTTCTACACATCACCACTTGGATGTCCCACAGACACAATGAGCTCAACATGTCCAAAACTGGACTTGTCTATCCCTAGACACCTACTTTATCTTCTTTATTTCTTATCATGTGGGATAATACACTGTTTATCCAGCCAAGTCAGAAAACTTTGATTCGTACCAATTTCCCCTTCTCCTATACTCCCCGAGTTAGACATTAAACTTTGTCAATTCTACCTCTGTATCATTTAAGACTATTCTTTCTTTTCCATCTTTGCTGCCACTATCTTAGTTTTAGGTCTTTGTATTTCTCACCTGAACTAATATCATGGACTCTGAATTAGTTTCCCAGCCTTTGATCCATTGCCTATGTTGCCTGTGGAGTAAGTTTTCTGAAACCATAACTCGCCCTCTTCATCCTGCATTGCACCTCACCTTCACTCATTGCTTTGGGGTTAAAATGCACATCCATAGCATAATATGTGTTACTCTCAGTAATCTGAATTCTGTCTACCCTTCCAACCTTACCTTTGACTTTTCCGCTCCTGTTTCAATCAGCTGAATGGCTTGCAGGTCCCCCAGCATCTTGTATTCTCATAATTGATTACTTTTGCATAATGCTGTGCCTTCTGTCTAGAATGTTCCTATCTTATCTTCTGCCATTCACTTCACTAACTTATAATTGTCCCTCAAGATTTTCTCCTTCCAGAAGCATTCTGTGACTCAACCTAAAATTCTTGTTTGAATTTCATCTCCATACTGTGCGTTCCTTGTAGGCAGGGATGCAATCGTATTTGTCTTCATATCTCCATAAGAAAAACCCAATAAACACTGCCAAGTGGGAGATGAATAAAGGGCTTTTAGCCACATGGCAGTTGCTGAAGTGGGACAGATGCTGACATCTTCATTTTGCTTGCAAGGAAACTGAGTCTTAGGGAAGTTGAGTGATGTGCCCAAGCTTACCTCAGTGACAAACCTGAACCAAAAACCACATCTCTACTTCTGGCCAAGAACACATTTCAGTATTATGTGTTACTTCTGAGAATATTTTTTCTTCTACATGTAAATACACATATTTGAGGAAAAAAATGGATTTAAAGAAGTTTTTGATACTTTTCTAGATGCGTACCATTAGTGAATATTTTCAATCAGAAACAGGCTAACTTACCATTTTAGTGGTTTTTGCATTGCGTATCCTGACAATACCAATGACTTCAGTTGCAAATGAAAGGAAATTAGGGGTGTATTAGAAAATAGCAGGATCAAAGAGATGTAAAGTTATTCTAATAAAATATATGATTTTAAAAATCAATTTATTCAAAGTTGAAAATGAGTCAGATGATTTAAGAAGATACAGAAAAAATGAAGAAAATTACCTTTTTCCAGTGATTCATAACAAGGCAACTTTTTCTTCCCTAGTTTTCCCTGAAATAGCTGAAAATGAAAGATTACCATTTGATTTTTCTTAAATCATCTTTTATGAATAAGGTGCTTTGTAATTGTACACATAGTTTGAAATTTGTTTTCAATGTCATTATGAGTGTAGTCTCTTTTGTCCTATATATTAATTTAAGCAATGACTTCCTTTTTGAATGAGATACGTAGGAATCAAAATAGAAATGGTTATTTGTCAACATCTTCATGGAATTTTATTGCCAAAATACAATTTTTGTTTACTTAAAAGGAAAAGGCATTTTTTGCAAGAAAGGAAAATTTTCTCACAGTGAGAATTATTATATATTGCCATTGGTTCCAAAATTATATTTTAGAATCTCTTTTAAAGATTAAAACCAGACTAAATTCTTATCTTGCTTCCTAGGGGATCGTGTCTTCCAAAAGTTTAAACTTCATACAAATATTTTTGGAAATGCTAGAAAGGTAGAAAGGATAAGCTCTCTAAAGTTTAGTATACTCTCCTGCTTCCTGGGTATGTGACCTTCAGTACATTGTTTTACCTTTTTGAGCCTGTTTAATCATTTGAAAAAATGGTAATAAAATACCTCCCCCATAGAGTCTTTGTGAGGAATGGAAAGAGATAGTGTGTATAAAAGCAGATAGAGCCAAATTACTTCCTTTCTGTGTCTTTGAAATGCTTTAACTTCTGGTCCAACTTATCACAGTACTCTTCTACACAATGGCAGAAAGCTGTTTCTCTGAAGGTGGTCCGAGGCTGATCAATTTACAAGTGGTATATGCAGGAACAATTTGGCAGGTGTAGCTGTTAAGACAAATGAACGGGAGAACAGACTGGCTGTGACAGCTGTCATCACATTAATTGTTACGGACAATTGGCTATTAGCTAGTTGTCTGGCTAGTTTTAGTATGTCCTTCCTCCTACCATGCCATGTGCATCTTTTCTGAAGCTGCAGACCCAATGAAAGATAATGACTTTCCCAAATAAAAAAGGGTCTTTTTCAGTAATAGTCCATTCTTTATTAGTACTTCCAACTTAGCTCTAGTTGTGCAAGCAACATGTTTAGTTTGTGCCCATTTTTAAAAAGAAGAAGAAAGTCATATTAGATAGAGAAGTGACTGATGAGTACCTAAGCCACCAAAGTAGCAGAAATGCACAGCAGAATAAGTGGACTTAGAACTAAGAACACTGACTCAGAATTTGTGCACTGGTTAACTAGAGAACGGTTATTTTCTACAGAGGCTAATTTACTAAATGCATTACATTTTTAGAGTCGGGGAACTTGGTTAGGAAGATTGGCATCATTCCAATTGTTGCCTAAGTAGCTTGTCTGACTACTCCTGGAGATAGAAACGTCATAGTCTCCATTTGTATCACTTGGAGTATTGAGCAGAGATGATGCCTTTATATTTCTTTCTTGACAGCCTTGAGCATAACCCTGTACATAATTCGTCACCCAAATATGTTATCTGCCCTCTCCTAGCCTATGATGCCATTTGAGAGATAAAACGCTGGATAGGAAATTTGGAAATAGTGATGCATATAATTAAGTACTAAAATAAAATGGACAGATGGTAAAAGCTATAGATACTTGTTATAGGTTGATGTGATTAAGAAAGCCTTTGTGAGACTTGGACAGCTTGTGAATATTGGGTGAGCTTGAAATAATCAATTCTTTTCTCCACTGGAGGCTGAGCTTTGGCAAACGTTTAAGCCCAGCTTGGTTTTACCCTGCCGCCTAGCCTGTTTCTAGATGACCACCCCATACCAGTCAACCTGCATTCGTACAAAGGGAAAATCATTGCCGCAAGCCAAATATTCTTGAGAATAAAAATTTAAATAAACTGTAGGAAATAAAAGAAGCATGTAATACATAGTGATTCTTTTTTCTACCCAAATTTACAGGTAGTAATTCTCCCAATAATATGCCCCTTTATGCTGATAGATTTCAAGAATTTAGAACTGAGCTTATTACAATACACTGAATTTCTTAATGAATTTCTCATGTTGGGGCGAAAGAAACTTTTTCTACCCTTGTAGGTTATTTTGGTTGGACCAATAATTACATCTACATGAGGCAGATTAGATTAACAAGAGAAAATTAATCAAATTTAGTTATATACATACGTACATATGGGAATTCCACATACATGAAATAGTCAGAGACCCCACATACATGAAAGGTTCAGAGACAGGAATGTAAGGTATATATGGAATTCTGATCTAGGATGAGATAAGGCACCTTGGGACTTCAGAGGAGAGGAGGGTCATTATGGAATGATAAGAAGAGCAGATCCTCAGTAACTAGTAGTTTGCCCTGCCACTTAAATAGGTCAAAAAGGTAATCGCTGATAATTTCTTATCATGGACATGGCCCCTAATTTAAATTCTAGGTAGTTGTGTGGGTAGCACAGGAGTTTCTCTTGAGCCTGCAGGGTCTCAGTTGCCTTTAGCTCAGAATAATCTGAATACTACAGAGGAATATTTTACGGTGACTCCTTCTGCACTCCTGTAGTCACAGTGTTTCAGCAATTGCACAGCTAGGTATAATATTCAGAATCCAAGAACCATCGTGGAGAGTGGGAAGCACTTTTCCAATCCTAGACCCTTGGTTCCACTCTGGTCATTTGTTTTCTGCCCTCCTTCTCCATCTGACACTTAGGCTGTCCTTTCAGTAGGTTCAGGTCTACTCAGCCTCTCAGCATCTCTTTCTTGATATATTTCTTCCAGTTCTTTGTTTATGGGCCATCATCACACCCATTGTTCCCAGAGAGGCATCTCTGATCTCCTGCCCTACTCAAGGGCTCTGGGTACTAAATCTATAACCAGCATCTCTCATCCAACCCTGAGCCAGGGGCCTATGGGCTGAAACTGCTGTATCTCCCAATATTGACGTCTGGAATTCTAGGAGGCCTAGAAAACTATTTTTAAAAAGTGTAAAAGTAAAGTTGGGTGGTAACAATTTTTCATCATTATTTTTCCTGAATAATCCCTCATCTTAGTATTTCCAACTGTTAAAATCGTCAGGCATTTCAAACAGTGGAATGATTGAATTTATGTTTCATTCCAATAATAACTAGCATTTTTACAAGCCCCTTCCACTCTACTATATCACTGTACTTTCAAAGGAGGATAGGAAGTACTATTGGGTAAGGGTAGTGTGGTAACTGTAATGCTTCTTTTCATGAATTTTAGCAACATTTTATCAATATTATCAGTTTTATTAGCAAGAAATGATCGATAACATCTTCAATAAAACTGGTAGATACATATAAAAAGATGATGTCTAAAAATTTGTCACAAATAATAGCTTACAGTTCCTAAAGTATTTGAATGGACTATGCTCATTATGTAATTTGTTCATTCATACATTCATTTATTCAGCAATTGTTTGGACACCTGTATGTCAAACATTGTAAGATAATGCCGAAGAAAGCGTGGTGAGTAAGATAAATGGTACCTGCCTTCATGGAGTTTATAATGAAGGATAAAGGCAATAAAATAACAATTATATCAGTATTAAGTATTTTTAAATATTTAAGTGCTGTAAGAAACATCTTACCCTGTTGCATGTTTTGAAAGCCCCTCAAAGAAAGCATTTCGAAATATTTTTACAGTTTCTTGAGGATTTGCGATCACCATCAACCATCAGAACAGCCCCACATTGAATGTAGCTAACTGAGGCATTTAATAAATAGATTCATCTGTTTTCCATTTTATCCCCTCCCTAGCAGGCATATTGATTTATTTCTACCATTTTTAAGCACTCCCAAGTCACGATATCCCTGGCAGCTTTGATAGCAGTGTGACCAAGTCAAATACCACTGTGGGTCCCAGCTCAGAGGCTCACAAGATCAGGTCTGCCCACAGCCTCTTTTTGTCCTCTTTGCCTCAGGCCAGAGTAGAGTCTCAACTGCCTCCACGGTGGGAGGGGTGACCCCTGAGTGCCAGACCCCTACTGGCCTCTCTCGAGGGGAAAAGTCTCTACAACATCAGGGAGAGAAAAGAACCTGGTTGGAGAACATCCCAAGGCTTACAAATTACCTGCCCTTTCCCAACTGAGAAGAAAAAGGTTTGGCATTTCTTAGCGCTTCATCTGGAAGAAACTTTGTGTATTTGATGTCTTTTGTGTTTTCAAAATTTCTCCTTAATTCCTTTGATTTTACATAGACTTAAAGCTCAACCATTACCCACATACACATTTGTACCGCCCCGCAGCTCTGTTCTGACAGTGCGATCAATTGCTATGGAAAGTGACCAGTTTTTGTTTCCTTTATTTTCAGTGTGGGAAGTCATTATATTGAATTAGAAACACTGAACTATTGTAATTACAGGAAGAAGAGCTTGGTTCACAACAATTCTTTTCCCTTATTAACTTAAGCAGGTCAAAATTACTTGTGCCAGATGTATTTAGCTCCTTGAAACAAAATTCTAGTGTGTCAAACTGAAGCTTTCAACATACTCTTGAGAACTACGTCCTGATGTTTAAGGATTTAGGGTTTATGAAGCTCCATAGCTAATGATAACAATGGTCCCAGCAGCCCAGAATTAATAAAGCCAGAATAAACAAACATAGTGGCTCATCTCTGTAAGCCACAATTAGTCCATCAAAGTTAGACAGAGGTTAGCCTCTTCTTTTTATTTTAAACATTTTTTTCTACTTTAAAATGAAAAATTAAGAAGATTCTGATAAGAGCGGTACAAGGATATCACTGAAGATAAATGCCTCTCTCTCCACAACACTAACAAAGACTTCTTGGTACCAAGAAAAGAATGGCAGCTTGCGAGCCAGGCACACCTGAAATCCTAGCTGTTACTCCCTAGCTGTGTAGCCTTGAGCAAGTCACTTAACCTCTCTGAGTCTCATTTCTCATTGTAATGTAAATGTGGAAAATAATTCAGAGTCCTTTTAAGATTATAATTTATAAATAAAGTGTACCTTGCACAAGGTAGGAATGTAATAAGTGCTGATTGCTGAAGTAGTTGTTGCTGTTA